TGCCAAATTGATATCATTAAAAAAATATTTTCAGTACCACCTGTGGAGTATCAATCATGAACTTTTGGAAGTTTATTAATAAATTTATGGGGCAAAACTTGGAATGGACTGGAGATATTAGTTATCACATGTTATTAATTTAGGCAATTTTAATTTAAACAGGTTATACTGTATAAGGTAGTTTCATGTTACATATTTTGTCCATGTACGGTTTGATAGAATTTATTTTGTTGGGGTGGTGTTGTTGGCTATATTGCTTGTTGACCTGTCATGATCTGCTTCGTTCTAATACAAATTGGCATTGTCTCAAAGCAAGTTTTAGGAGGTTTCACTCTCACGATGGCGCGTGAACTAGCTCTTTTCACTCAGCACTCACTCTTTCCACCAATGAGTCCTTACGGGAAGAAGACCTGCTCATCAATCTCCCTTACATACATACATCCTCATTTCAGTATGTGATAATTGCAGATAGAAGGGGTTTTCAAAACACTTTCTTAACGCAGTTTTACTAGATTGAGGAATAAGATTTACGGGATTCAAGAAGTTATAGGCAACATACCATTGCCAAAAAAATAATTAACGACTCTTCCAGCTTTCTCTAGGTTTTGAATTATTCCAGAACTATGTTCTCTAGTACATTTTCACGCTGTCCCACATAAATGTTATTTCCATACTTTTCTCTTACAATTTCCATACCCTCAAAATTCGCTACATTTTTGGGGCCACGAAAGGGAACTTGCGGGAATGATTCCAGTCCGTGATTGTTTTGTTAGAGCCGCTTTAAAATCCATGTAATAAAATATGTGATTGTTTTGTTAGAGCAGCTTTGAAAGATGTGAAGCTACCGTAAGTAGCATATTCGACACAGACAAACGAAAGTCTACGGAGGTCAGCTTGCGCGACTATGGTGTAGGTTGGGGCAATATACTTCATGATAAATCTGATTTGAGTCTTGTGTGAATGGCAAGTGGTCTACGGTGTAAGTCGCTCCCTTAGTCTGTCGGTTTGTGACTCTAGATCGGGGCTACAGGCTTGCATCTCTGGACATCTCTGGACATGTGCAAAGACAGGAGCACTCGCTCTTCTGGCCAAGCGCATCCAAGAAGACGGAGATAAGGGGAGGGCCACTTTTGTTTCTATCGAGCATTTTGTTGTACCATAAAGCCTGAAGGCTCTCGCAGCTTTCAGCAATTTTGGGGCCGACGAGACAAACTCCTGAGACATGCGCTTCTCATGCGGCCTTGGAACCACCATCCTATTGTAGGCCTGGTGTTTAACTCTCCTCTCATCGATCTGGTCTCCATATCAGCGTGATCGATGTAACTCTCTCCAAATCTCCAGTTCGAGGTAAAGACCTACCTCAGTTGTAGCGCGCTTCACAAACAACTTCTCGCGATAGAAGGAGACCATGTTTCCCTTCTCCATGCAACGGATGGGCGCAACTGAACTCGATTTTTTTGTATGTGGTCCCGGTCCTGGGGAAACTCTTGAGAGTATATTTACTCTCTAGAATTTTAAGCCGCAATTCAGCTGACAGCATGTTACATTGGACTTTTATAGTTTTGTTCCTGGGACTCAATGTTACTCTTGTGCTTTGCCCTGTTGTTGAACTTTGGAATCAGAGAAGTTCAAAATATACATCCTGAGCATAGTGTTCGTCCATACATGCAAGTGAATCCACTTTAGCCTGGATTCTTATAGCTAACCAACGATATTTACATTGTTATACAATCGTACGGCTTTATTGTGGACAATAAAGGGGATATCGAGGCTTCTAGAACCTATGTTCGGACAATATTGTGATATATATATATATATATATTAATTACAATAGCCCGAAATCTTTGATTTTATACTAGTTTACAAATATATTATTCTCAGAGTGTGGATAAAAATAAAAATTCCAATGGGACTCATTCGAAGTCCCAAATAATCTGGCTAGTTAATGTCATATATAGGTCCATCTATTTGTTGACTTGAGCCAACGAAAATATGTTCACACACTATAATTCTACAGTATAGTATTGTGAGCTTTTATATATTCAAGGTTAACCTCTTATATGGCCTTTTTTTTTGGTGTCCTTGGTTTTGTTGTTTATTATCGTACCATGTTTATGATGATTTATCACGTCGGTTTTTTGGTATTGCATGTTAGTCTATGTTTACTCACAACCAAACATATATCAATGTTGTCGTAATCAATTTTGATTTTCTGGCCAGTAAATTAGATGCAGGAATGACACTCATGCTAAGATGATATAATAACATTTATAAGCACTTGATTATAGTCCAACTAACAGCATTTGACTAGATTGTGGCTCCCTAAAACTTAGATAAGGTATCCGTTGGATTTCTATAAAAGAACTAAACTATAAGTCTCGCGGTATGATGTTTGCCTGTGAATGAAACTTCATTTCCTAAAAATGAATCTATTTTATTTGAATGAAAAATTCATGTACATATAGGGTGGTAGCACTCATAAGTAACTAAGAATATTCATATGTATGTATCACACCAAAATATATTTTCATGATCCAAAAAATTTGATCTATAAAAATATACTTTAAACGATATCATTTGATAACTCATGTATTACTTAGGACAAGATGTTGTGTGTTAATATTACTTGTTGGAATTAAAAAAATTAATTATTAACCAAATAATCTTGTTGCATTTCTTGCACTCTAGTTGTGGCATTGCTTCCACTGAACTACCGTGGAACGATAAAATTGGATGATTGTTATATACTTTTAAAGGTAAGTCTAACTTTTAGCTTTGACTCTTTCTTCTTTCATATACAAACTTAACCATATTGGAACATGGTAGTATATAGTCAGATGAGGCACCAAAGCTGTGATAGGTTTTTTCATATTTTTCCTAGGAATCTGAAAGGAAGTTGGAGAGATTCACATTGACACACAGATCTTTCTGACTCATTGTAATTCGGATGTGAACCCCTTGGACTTTGTCTTTCTCCATGTTGTATATTACTGCCTACACGATCTTCCGAGCACCATGTTCATTCTATAGCTTCCCTTTGATCATTTGTCATCTTCTCTCGTCGATAGGGCTGGAATAAAAGCGTGGCCTTGGAACCTTGTCAAGAGTCAAAGTTATTCCAAATTATGATACCTAAAAGTTACCAGCTTCTTTGGTCTCGTCACATCTTTCCGCGATAGCCAGTACAACATTTCCCAAAGTCCAACCTTTTTGAGTATTCATTTTATGTCTATTGACATACTCATTACTACTCGATTCGCCACATCTTTTCGGTGTTACAGTGATGACATTTGTGGAATCTTGGTGACGATCTCAGATTCGCTATACAAAGGGACAAATCTGTTTCATGTGACTTACTTCATGTTCATTACGACGTGATGCATGTTTGATGGGAATTCAGAAAAAGATCAAAGATCACGTTTGATTATATTTCATTCATGCAGATGAGTTTTGAAAAGTTACATGAGAGTGAAAAATTGATCATGATTGATTAATAAATTGATCATGATTGATTAAAATCATAACCTTCTTCCTTTGGTAGGTGAATTCTTCTTGTATTATATATTTCATAAGAGTAAGGATACAATTTCATATCTAAATCCGTTGTATGTGACTCTTTTTTTTAATGTGTATATGCATCTAATACTATGTCGGATGACGGGTGATTGTTGTACGATAGTAGTTGATTCTGTTCTTTCATATCGTTGAATTTAAATACTGTCAATGCTTCGATGACAAGGATCGATTGCTGAGACAGGATCTGATCTTTGCAGCAATAAAGAGGGAAATAGATCTTCAGAATGTATCTAGAGCCAAGATATAGGACCCAATTGGTTGGAAATGCAAACTTTATTGCATCGCATCACCTGCAGGAATGTTAATAGGAAAGCCTATCACGATCTTCACTTCATGTTGGGACTGCTGTTGTTTGCGCCTTGGAATAGACATATTTCATTGTATATAAGTAAAATTAAATAAAAGTACCATATAAAGCGCACCGATCATAGTCCTTTTTTTATACAAAATAGATCAAAGAAACTAGTCTACCTTGGTGACAGCCCTCCTTCGCCAGGAAACATCGCGCTTGATACTTGGATGTGCAACATGCTGACAACATCGTTAGGTGCTTTGGGAACCATGCTCAAAGCGTATTCTATGCATGTCTTGATTCCGTGCTCTACGGTGGCAAATTCGAGGCTGTTTGAGTCGGCAATCCTTCCCGAAATTTCGACTCAAACAGTAGTAGTCGAAGCTTCTGGAACGATGCCCGTGGTTTCGAGTTCATGTACCCCAAAGATAAGTTGAAGAAATGCTTTTCTATAATCCCAAAGATGCAATAAAAAAAAAAACTGACAGGAAGAAACTGACAAAAATATATAGAAAAAAACAGAGCAGAAACTTATAAGTTTTTGGAAAAATTTATATTTTTGGCGTCAAGCCTATTCATGTATGAAAGAAAACCAACGTTATATAATACAACGTTTTGTCCAAAAAAGAATCCACACCCAGACTCTTCTCGGAAGTATGACGCTTTTAGTTTTACAAATTGGCATCAAAACTAATAAAATGTATCGAATTGATTTTTTATCGCATTTCTTTGTTGCTAGCTCGAACTTCTTCAAGTTGGTGGCGAGCCTGGAACGAAAGATATTTCGCAGGTGGCAAGAGCTGCGCTTTGACAAAAGCCGTGTCTTTAATCCGAAGCCGTGCTCGAACCGATGACGTACGTTTTGCAAATCGGTCGCAAGATAAATTGTATTTTAGACGCCTTGTTGACAAAATATCTATTTTCGGTAGAAGCATTCATTTTTCACCGATAAGGTGCCATAGATAAATTGGAAAGTTGCCAAGAGTTGTATGCGTCGGACAGGATCGGAAAAGCGAATTTCCTATTCCTTCCAGAGAGCGAATCTTCGAATCCGGACACCTGCAAACGGTGGATTGTAGTCAGACTGGAGGAGGAGAGTTCTTTGTTTTTCACTGTAGTGCTCATGAGAGCATGATTCATAACTCCTGAGGGGTGCAGTTTTCGGGCGTTTGGACCCCTTCAGAGCGGGGGGACAGAAGCGGCAGAAAATGCTAAAGTGCGGAGCGAGGCCGGGTCAGCGAGTCGCATCCATCGGCTGCGTTCGGGCACAAGAGGGTGAAGAAGAACTGTAGAGCAGGATGTTTGGGTTCCCCTCTTGAGATGTGGTGGTGGAACTTGTGGTGGCCGCGGCGTGTTTACTGCTGAAATTCGTTTCCTCCCTCTCCCTCTCTCTCTCTCTCTCTCTCTCTCGAGCTTCGTTGCATCTTCGCTGTAGCTCTTGAGCACCACCACCTGCCTTTCGCTGCGAGCACAACACCATCAAATGGCGATGAGATGAGACGAAGCGGATCATGAGGTGCAGCAGGAGCAGCAGTGCAGCCAAATCACCCAGTCCAAAAGGAAGTCCCCGCTGAGCCACAGCCGCGAGACGAAGCGACCTCGATCGACCGACCGACCGACCGACCGACCGACAGCGAGCCATTTATCCATCGAGAAATTGAAACTCGCGGTAAGAATCCTTTTGCCGTCCTCCACATCCTCGACTCGATCTCCGTCTGTCTGTCTGTCTGTCTGCGTGCACGAATTCTGATTTCGTCGCGTAGATTCGAAGGACGTGAGATGCTCCCGTCGTCCTCAATTCGCTCGTGCAGATCCCCAAGAGCGTGGTCTTGAATTGTTTCGTCGTGTGGATCTTTTTATCATCGGATCAGACTCGCGCCGTGATCGATATCATTCATAATCAGACGCGTGAGTCGGTGGGGAATTGGTGCAGCCGAATGCAGGCCGCGGCGAAACTGAGGGATCCTCTGAGGGACTCCCAGCACTCGGGGCCGCAGAGATTCCATTCGGGAAACCTGGCGCTCCTGTCGCGCAGCAACACGCACCAGGCGTCGAGCTCGAAATTGGCATTTCCAGCGGACAAAGGTGGGGATTCCAAGGGCACGAAGATGGCCGCGCTGACGCGAGGCGCGTCCTTTCGGAGGCAGGGATCGTCGGGCATGACCTGGACGGAGAACTGGACCTTCACGGACGATGGCATGTTCTCGCGCAACACCAAGGTCAGCGACGAGAAGAGTGCCATGGCGAGCTCGTCGCGCCCCGGCCAAGATCCCAAGAGCGCCGGGCCCGAGATCACGTCTGGATTTCCTGCCGAGCTTCAGCGGAGCCTCAGTGTGGGAACCGGAACGCGCACCAAGAGAGTCGGCTTGCACCATAAATGGGGCATCAAGTGGATCAAGAAGAGCTTCAGAAAAGCTTTCAAGTGAATGATGGCGATGTCCTCCTCTCCTCATCCCGTCTCCATGGACGAGAGGAGTTCACGAGTGTGCAGGCTCCGCCACCATGTCGCGGATCGGCTTCACCGGCGGACGCAATCGCGACTCACAGTCGTGCCTCGCTCGGGAAGGCGTGACTTCTAAGGATTGTAAATTTCACCTCAACCCTAACGAATTATTGATACAGGCGCTCGAGCAGAGCTGCGCAGGGCTCCCGATGCGCTTTTTGGTCGCTTAATTGTACCAGTCAGTCAGTGTGTGAATTCTTGTGCCGCATCCCCCACGAGCCCGTCCTGCCATAAGAAGTCTGCGTTTGCCGGTGGGCGGGCAGACGATTGGCCGCTCGGAGGCATTGGCCTGATGTGAAGAGGAAGGATGTTGGGGCCCGATTTTCCTAGATGTCCTTAGCATTCATAGACACTGCGACGAAGAGAGTTAATTCTAGCCTTGCAACCGAGAGATTGAGATTCTTATGCCTTCACCGCTTACGAAGTGTGGAGATTCACCTCCGCTCGATGCTGTGGAGTATGTATACATGACAAATCCTTGTAATATATATTCTTATCGAACTGGTTTGTCCATTGGAGTTCATTGGAGTTCATTGGAGTCCATTGGAGTGAGTACCGAGTTTACTACGACGATTTTGGGCATGGTGATGTGAATTGGTGGGATCTTCTCCTGCAATGGCAGCAGCCTCAACAGCAGCAGCAGGATCGTTGCCTGCGCTTCTCTATTTCGTTTGCCGAGGTTTGCACTGTGGGTGAAATTCGGTCCCGGGGATGTGTCCCGTCAATGTCGGCCCTATCCTTCGTTCCTTCTTCCTTTCTGTCCTCGCAGGCTACTTTCTTCCGTGACCAACTGTCGTGGAATCATGTCTTTTGAGTGCGAGGTTCAGTTACTGTCAGCCCGTTTGTCACATGCGCCCCGTCTCCTTTGTACTGACATGGACGCCGCAATGCAATTCGTTCATGCAATTTTGTTTTGCCTACTCCTGCACGGCTAGATTTCGTGGCGAGCTCTCAAACCGCAATACGACCTCCTTTCCTTGCTTGCTTCCGTTACAGTGCAGGATTTCCTGGCAGCAGGCCATTGGCCTCCCGTCGTCGTTTGTTGCAGGATGTGCCATCGGGAAGACCAAACGGCCTGCCTGCGCCAAAGTCGTGAGGAGCCATGGCCGGCTACCGAGATACATCGTGGAGATGTAAGAGACGTGACTCACTCGCGCGCAGCGATGTCAGACTGGCCGCATCTGCATGGCTGTCATCAACGAAGCGGAGAAAAGTGATTCCTGGGTTTACAACGAGGTGATGTTTCTGAGTTGATCGCTTGATCTCCATCATATCAGATATCCCACATTAGTATCAGATACCCTTCTGGAGTCCTCCCCGATACGAAACAAATCGTGGCCTTCCCATATTTTCTGCTCCATTAATCAGAAACAAAAGTTTTTTTTTTTCCTTTTTATCAAAGCCGGATATGGACTGGTGTGAAAAGATGAAGATTTCAGATTATTATTCGTCTGTGTACATACATCAGCAGCGTTGACGTGCAGACGGACGAAGATCGATCAAAGACATGTGCACACAGTGGAGCAGAGCAACGCGAGGAGGAGCCTGCGCGTGGTTGACCCGGATTCATATTCATCATCATCATGGCCGACTTCTAGTGTCGTGCTCAGGTGCAACCTGCGCCTGAGGCCCTGAGCTCGCACGTTCCGTTCCACGGGTGCACGCACGCACGCTCGCTCAGGGAACAGAATTAAAACACGAGGACACCTTTGACAGTCCTGCCGCCAGACGATGAAGAATCAGTTTCGAGCCGTATTATACGACGCGACATGGACATCCCTCGCATTCGACGCAAAGCGTCATTACGTCCGTCATTACGAGCCTCCTCCATTGCGCTGCGTGGCCGGACGCCGGAGGAAGGAAGGAAGGAAGGAACGATCGATCCGTGGGAATGGGCAACCGCGGTGCCCACCGACGACGAACTGACAGCTCTAAGCTGACGGAGTAAGTGGCGGGAGTGGGACTCGGTCACTCGCGGGTGCAGATATCTCGCACAATCCGGTGGCGACTTCCGCCGCAGTCGAAGTGATATGCTATATGCTGCCACGTGATTTCCCTCGCTGACCATTACTTTCCGGTAGCCGCGTCCAGCGACCGACTCAGTCTAGGCTTCCGAGCCCAGTCTACCCAGTTCTATCAGAACCACGTCCTCGCCTCAACCCTCCCGTACAGTACCGGCGTTAAGCTCGACCGGTGACCTGAATTTCTCGGTCGGTGCCCAATGCTTCCTCCGTGTCGGGTCGGTGCCCGAATCACAGCCGAGCAGGTGCAAGGGGAACGGGGTTCATTTTGGGGAGGCGGGGTTTGGATGTTTAGTAATAAACCGGAGCCCGTGGAAGAGGGAAAGGCGGGAGACCGACTACCGACGGTCCGTCGGTGACTTCTACCTGCGGGCAGTTATGAGCGCGGGGCAGTGACTCGCCGCTGCCTTCCTTCATAAATAGCGGTCGAATGCCGGCGCCAGGTTCGTTGCTTTTCGCTTCTCTTCGTGGCAGCAGCGAAGAAGTCGAAGGAGGCGAACAGGTCAGATTCGAATGCCGGCTGCGACTCGCTCGAGCGCGACGCGACAATTTCTCGTTCTTTCCCCGAACGTGAGATCTTTACTTCTCGATCTTCGCTGTTGCTTTTTTCGACTTCATTAATGCTTTGCAGCAGCAGCGACGGTCTGAGAGTTCAGGAGAACGAGACAGTAGTCTGTTGACTGCACTCCAATTTTAGGTGAGATATCACAACCCTAAATCGGCTCATAATATCGCTCTAAAACTGGTTTGAACGCTCATCTCCGCGATGAAATTGCTGGCTTGTCAGGATTTCTTAGTCCACCGAACACAAACTTGGGAGCTTTGGCTGCACGTAAAGACGTCGGTAGTCGTTCGAGCGCTAGAATCCCCTCAAAGATTCTCTCTCGGTGGGAGAATCCGAGATGCGGCACCTGTCACGACAAGCTCATGAATTCTCTGGCAAGATATCGTTCGGGTTGGAGCTCGAAAGCCCGAGCTCCAACCCGAACGGCACACGTAAATCGGTCTCTTTCTACCTGCAGCCGGTCTGGACGTGCTGGGAGCTTTCACCAGTCCTATGAATTGGTGGGTGCCCAATCGGATGATTCCGATGGCGACCATCCGCTTGTCTCGATGCGTGGAAGAGTAGACCAACAGAAGTTGTTCCTGATTTTCTATGAACACCTAGGAAGTGGACTTGGACTTGGACTTCTTCATCCTTCTATATAAAGTCCCGAACTTTATATAGGACGAGGACAGTTTCATCCGATAAATAGGAAGACGAGAATCTATTACGACAAACTCGAGTCTAGGTGGTCGTTGCATTCGATGTAGTGTTTACGCACACGTCAGGTTCAGCGCATGTTACAACTGCTATTGACTTGCTTCTAATTGAAAAGAAAAAGGGGGCCAAGTGGAAGAAACCAGGCCCTGACCGAAAAGGAGACACATGGGGAAGAAATAACTTTGTCAATACCCACCTACGGACAACAAAGCCGAGGGCAAGGAAAGTTCATATGGTACTGGTCACTTCCTCTCGCTTACGTCTTCTCGTATATCCAGTATGCAATGGACATGGAAGGTTTATACCGTGTCATACAAATCTTCGTGTACCTACTACATTTGTTTTTTCTTCAAAGGGTCCATTGGTTTTGCAGTATATTTCAGTTATAATGGAAGCTTTGGAAAAGGAAAATACAGATAAAATTATAACAACAAGCATGAACTCTACCACTTAGCAAGATAGAGTCATGCATTTAGTGACAAAGTTGCCTATCTCCAAGCCTCTCTAAATACGAAAATCCGCCAATGTAGTTCAATATTTGGTAAATGGAAAAGAGAGCAAGCCTGTGGTATCCAAAGGATCAAAAGACAAAAAAACACATACCAAAAAAGCTACAAACGAGAAGAGAACCAAAAAAACCCACAAGCTAGTGGTTAGAGCACTAGAACAGAAACTAGTAACATACCTCATAAAACAACATAAATCATAAGTCTCAACCTGTAATAAAAATTAAAAATTCTCAACAACTTTATGAGACATTTTCATCCATTTATATCCATATATATAAGTAACAAACACATTCTTCATTCTCAACTTTTCTCCCATCGCATAGTCTACAAATACGTTCACTCCTATAAATGTTCAACCAACGCACTTACTCAAATGTTCAACCAACGTACTTACTCAATCCCAAAACTATGAAATATTGTTCTATGCCGAGCAATAATATGACGTTAAGATATAGAGATATCCGCAAGTAGGTATTCTTGCTCACAAGAAACAAGCATAGGATTCACATGAAGTTGATAAAACTCCATTTGAGTGTCTCTTGTGTTCCAAATAATGTTGAGAAATTACTCCTTAATAACCCCACAAAGGACCATAGGTTGCAAATTCCAATCGAGTTTCACACCATTTCACCTCAAAGACCAAGTCACCACATATGCAAACCATACCTTGGTGCACAAGAAACTTTTCACAAAGTTTCGCGATCACAAAATTATTATTGTTTTCAATCTATGAGACGCAACTAGAGAGTGATAAAAGTTGGACATTCTAGTTCTGTCACATTGTTCACATCAGTTAAAAGCTTTTGAATAGTTGTTTCCTCTTGACCAGGGCTCGCACATTATTTAATTGAAATTCAATTTTGGTCATTTGCTTCATGAAGTTCAATGAATTCCACTTAAACTAGACCAAAAAGACTATAGAAAGTTGGATTCGACAAAATTCCGTTTCAACCGAAACATGTTTAAATACTACATTGTGTATGTTCAAATACCACAATGTGTAAATAACAGTGTGATCCCTGCATCACAAGTTGTGATAGTCAATACTCCAAATTGATTACTGTTCGTTCTCAATTTTGTGTATGTTTCAGATGTAAAGAACCTGTTAAATTAATTGGATTAATTGAAGATCATAGTATTCACTTTCATTGCATTCACTTGGTAATCTTGTTTTGGAAGCAAGGTAGAAGCGACACGTGATGATTTAAACCAAAAGACTTCCAACATTTTGCCTACTTGCTTAACTCATGAACTTGTAACTTTAAAAACAGGGGATGTTGTTCAACTAGTTCTGAAATATCAAGGTTATTTGGAAGTTTTGTGATAGCTCAGTTTTTTGTTTTTTTTCAGAATTAACATAGGAGGTTGGGAAATTGTGGTCGATTTTAACCTTTGAAAGCAGAAGTAATTAGATTAGAGTAGAATAGCAACATAACAAGGTAGATGAGGTAGTGGTAGTACTTTAGAGGAAACCTCAGACGTTGCGTTGGCCCTCAAGAGGGCGGTGAGGTTCGAACCTGTGAGGACAGGTGAAGAACTACCTCATTTGAGTACCCATACATGTACTCGGGGAAAGGGTACTCAACCGGAGTACGTGAGGACATCGAGGCTTCACAGTCCGAAACGGGTGACGGGTACCGGATATGTAAAAGATAGTGCCGCCGTGGAAAGAATTCGAATGGCGGCACCTTCAATTCGCACGCATG